ATTAACTATACACAATTAAAAATTTTAATTTTTTTTTAATCCCCACACCCAGCCGATTCCAATAATTTTTCGTTCTGCTGAACAATTAGTCATAACGGCGTTGTCACTCATCTACCTCGGCGGTAAATGTACATCGTTGATGTTTTTCAGTTGGAAAACTTCGCAGGCTTCGCGCCGCACCGGTATTTGTCTGCACAAATGTGGTGTTGCTGCCGACACAAATGAAGTTTATGAAATTGTTAGTATCACTTGCTTTATGTAACTACAGATTCCGACTATCTTGCCTTTATGTGTATTCAATTGGCCTTAATGTTTTCGGTTTTTATTACAACATTCATACAATTCCAGGTCAATCATTTGTCGCTGAAGCTCTTCAATCACGCCGTAAACTTTTCCGCTTGTGGTTTTTTTACACTGGATATGGGCACTTTATATGCGGTACGTGCCTCGCTGTAACGTTCTTTATCTGCTTCCATATTTTCTAGATTTTACTGTCACAGCGTTAGTGGCTTGCGTATATGTACTACATATGTAGCAAGAGTATTTTTTATTTTTTTATTTATCTTTTCACGCATATTTTTATAGGTTTGTGGCGCCATAACTAGTTATTTGATTATACTCATACAGTTCAATTTGGCTGGGCAACAAGTGAAGATCAAAAAAGAATTGGCTGCTTCAAATGAAACGGCATTGATGGTATTGGATGCAGAAAATTATACCGTTACGCCAACCGAGTCAACTACGCACTGGGACTAGAAATGAGAGAGGTGTTCGTATGTCGTATGCGAGTATACATATATCTACAGGCAATAAACAAGAAATATAAAAAAAAACTGTTTAAAATATGCCCTTGTTTGTGGTTAATAAAAATAAAAAAAATTCTGCACCCGCGCCACCTAACGGCTAAATATTGTTTGAAGTTAAGTATTTATTTCCATTTAAGTAATAGGTATGTATACGTTCTAAATAACCAAAACCATAAATATGGGTTTTTTAAATATCTCGACACATGCGCCACCTAGAGGAATAATTCATCTATTGACTGCTATTTGTCTAGGGAAAATTTGAAAAATCATAATTTCTGAGCAGTACGATGCCATGGTGAATCAAATGGGGAATTACGCTTGTTGTAATCAAATTGAAGAAGTCGCTCGAAGCTCAGTCCCCGTTAGGTATTGAACGTCTAGGAAAGATCTTTTTGGAGGTTGGAGTACCACCTGACAACGTATAAAAAGTCACTGTTGGCAGTTATAACTTTGAAATAGTGACAGCCTTTGTGTACTTAGAATCCAGGAATGTCAGCCCGGAAACTAATCGAAGAATGACTTTTACCAGCATGTGCTCCTTTCTCAATGAACAAAAATTACGCTCTACAAATCAATCACAATGTCCGCCCTTTTATGTGGCACAGAAACGTTGGCGACGTCGTTCAGAGATGAAAAGGCTTCGGGAGTTTTCGAGAGAACTATTCTGCGCAGGCCCTGTTCGCGTGGGTGACTTGTACCGAAAAAGATGGAATGACAAACTGCACCGATTGCGCTGGCTTTTGCATGCCGTACGTATGGATGACGAGGCTCCAGTGAAAATATCCTTCGACTCGGCACACATGTTTTGGCAACGAAAAAAGGGCCCCAAAAGCAAAATAGAAGGGACAAGTTCAGAAGGACATGGCTGTATTCGCTGTGTACCATTGACGCAACTTCACAATGGAGAGGGACAATTGGCGAATAGTTTGTCCCGGTCCAAATCGACAAACGGTTGTATAGCCAAATAAAAAGAAAAGACACACCTCTGGAACAATTTATTTCAGGACAAAATGTATACGTCTCTGGGGTTAGATGTGTTATCCTGTAAAAGGTTAAATATAGTGTCTTCAAACCTAACTTTAATTAGGATAACATTAAAATCCTTGTAACTAAGAAGTAGTCCATCATTTTCTACGATCCTAAAATATCACTTCCTCGATAATGTAGTAGTACAAACTTAAGTAGGAAAATCTTTTCGGAGAAGAAACTATAGTTTTTTTTTTTTAATTCGTTCAACCCGATTCCTTGAGTAGAGAAAGCAAATTCTCTTCATTAATTGTATTTGCATTTAAATGGTGGTTATCTTATTGCGAAAATAGCTAAGCGAAATTTAGCTCTAGGCTGCCACGGTAGGCACTTATGAAATTATTGTGGTACATTGAAATATTAATCTTAACTCGAACAAAGTGTATTTACAGTACATAAATTTGTATTTGCATCAAATCATTAGTGGTTTGCGTATGTCGTGTTTGCCACCAAAAGTACCGACAATAGCAGGCGTCCAAAAATGCATTACCCACCTACTAACAAACAATTAAACCGCACGCAAACAAACTGCTTAGAGTTGTCATGCAAATATGCCTAAAACGATATGTGCATTAGGGTGCTTACTTTTCGATTATTTTAAGAGAATCAATTATCCTTACCCAAGAGAATCTTCTTCATTAGCGCGATTTTGGCCGAGTCCAAAACAGCACGCCAGTAATTTCTCTTCTGTGCTAACTGACGCCAATTGGAAATGCTAAGTCTTTCTCCACCTGGTCTGCCTTCCTCTTTCTCTGTTACCAGCATCGCGGCCCTCTTTGTATACTTTCAGAGCAGGTGCGTTTCTGTCCATTCGAACGACACATTCGCTTTGCTTCTCTATCCAATCCCGCGAAGGCAGAACGGACGTAGCCCTTGGTTTTACCGATAATATCGACGTCGTCGGCATACGCCAGCAATTGTACATATTGTGCCTGAGCGGTTCAGTTCTGCGGCTCTTATTATCTTCTCCAACATCAGATTAAACAAATTACACGAAAGGGAGTCACCTTGTCTGAAAGCTCGTTTGGTATCAAAACGGCTCGGAGAAGTCCTTCCCTATTCTGACGGAGCTGGTGGTATTGCTCAACGTCATTTTACACAGCCGTATTAGTTTCGCGGAAATACCAAATTCAGACATAACTATGAGGTGAATAAAATTTCACTAGCTCATGAGGCTAATGAAATTTTTGACAAATGCATAGACAATTTGAAAGATCGTTGATGTGTGTAATTTTTCGCTAAATAAAAGCTTAAATTAATGAATTGCAATAAACGATGGTTCTTTCCCCAACGATGGTCGCTTTTCCCAATTATAAAGTCTGCAACTTTCAGTTGTGCCATTGCAACCAAAGCAGTAAAGCATCTGAAGTTATCATCCAGATCCCATAAAGCTTTTGTACAATTTTGAATATTTGAGGTATAGATGGTTTTCCCCGAGCTTCGGGATCTCTCCATTGCTCCTCTGTAAGAAATCTAACGACGTACTTTCTTCGAAAGGACACTCCAGGTATCAGTTTGTGGTTAGGTGCCAAAAGCGAAGGTTATTGCGAGGACAACCTTCTAAACAAATCTCTGTGCCCAGAGCTCCGATCGTCGTGCCACAGACCAAAAGAGTTCAGTACACACATCGTTTTCATTGTCTCTTCTTGGATCGCTACATCCAGAGGTAGCAAATCCAATAAACTAATAAGAGCCGGTTCTGGCGCTGTACTAGTGGCGCCCGTAATGCCTAAAGACACGCTCCTTTGTAGCATGTTTAACGCAGAAATCGGAGTTTTGAGCAAGGCCCTACGCCGCCATACTACAGCAGAATATTAATGAAAGCACAGGCCTCAACGAAAGAGACAGCACGCAGTATACGCAAAGCTGTCACGGTGGTCGATAGTGGAGCTGTACAAAGCTGCGATCGACAAAAAATCTCGTCTTAAAAGTGGACCAAAGTAGGAAGTTTTGTTTTTTAAAACGAAAGCTTAACTATGCTTCGGCAAGATCGGCCTAAAACTCTGAAAATTAAACATTAGTCAACTGGCGGTTTTCAGTTATCCCAGTGCAAGCTCGGGGTCAAATCTGCAACTTAAAGTCACCGCGGGTTATCGTCATCCTACAGCAACAAGTCTTTTTGTATGTTATTTAGGCCAAAAGGAAAACAATTGTGGGCACGCATATTGGAATTTCTCAGAAAAAAAAATCACTCCTTATGTGCTGGCCCACCCTAATGTACATACATAGCATATAGTATGTATTAACAGGCTCATTTGACTGGCTTTTCTGTTTGACGGCAGTTTGACTGATTTCTAAGTGCATAATTAATTAAATTTTCGCATTGCATAATTGTAAATTCAAATGCAAATGCATTGCGCTAGTGTAAATTGAAAATAATTAAAATGCCAATTAAAAAATTTTACCAAATACATTCTTAGAGAGCTCTAATTTTTATGGTTGCACATTAACAAAGCTATCGAGCTCACAGCTGTGCAAGGGACTGAAGAAAAATGAAATTTTAAAATATGTATTTTATAACCAGTATAATTTGCTGTTCACCATCAAAGCGTATGCAAGTCTCGTGTTCGAGCCAGGCGATCATCAGCAACAAAAAATGCTAATTACACAAGCAATCATCATCACCAACACCACGTTGGCTGCCAACATCATTAGCTCGGCAATGTACGCAGCATTTGGGGCATGAGAGAGTGCCGCAACAGCAGCAATCGCGGCAGACGTTGCAAGCGCGAAGTAAGCTGCTGCCCGTGTGGGGGCGATAGATAGGGTTGACTGGGTCAGGCTGGCAGTCGAAAATGGAAAACGCAAGTTGCCATGAAATATTGTATGGCTTTGGCATTGATGGCCTAGGCTGCGGGTGATGCTTGCATGGCTGCTGCTGCTGCTGCAACTGACTGGCACCCCAACTCGCTATTCTTCGCGTTTTGCTCGCAATCAGCCATTTGCAGGAATGATGTAAAATTGCAAATATATATATATTTTTTTTTCAGCCGCGCTTATTTGAATGGTTCTGGTTTGTTTTTGTATATTTTTTTTTTTTTGAGTCGCGTAGTTATATATAAAAATTTATATATAAAAAACGACTCGCGAAGGCCTAAAAATGGGCTGCAAAAAAATTAATGTTGCACCGGTGTTGAAAAGAATTGGCGGTCGAATGAATTGCTATGTTGCCTGTGGCTTAAAAGTTGTTAAAAAATAAATAAAAAGTATGCACTTTACGTGTCCATAAAAAATTTCAGCAAAGCGGTTTGGTCAACTCGGCCACCACTATCGTAGAATTTTTACGCTGCTCGTGATTGCCACTTTGGTTTTGCATTGGAACAAAGAATATTACAGTACAGTCAAATTAGGAAAAGTTGAAGATTTCTTTCCAAGGTAGTCAAATTATTATTTTCCATACTGAGCGACTAAACTCATGGAATGTAAAACTTGATTTACTGCCCTGCTAGCAGAGAAACATCCGGTATGCCGTTTTTGTATCCGAAAAAATGTATTTGTTCATGCGTGTTACTATTTGTTAGCTTTTAGAAAATTCCGGGTTACAATGCCGTCAGACGCAATAAAATGATTCGCAATTGTTTTTGTTTTTTTTCTTTTCCGAACTATGAAAAAGCATCTGTAAAGTGCAGAAGGAAAACTTTTGGAAGAACATCGGAAAACGCAACGGTGTCACAACCATTTTCGGTAGTTTTCTAAACATAAATACTTTAGTCGGAAAACGGACCGTTGACGTAATCGAAAATAAAATCGATCTACATTTCATTTTTGCTGGCTGCCCTGATAACCACGTTTTCAGAGTATTTTGAATGGTAAAGAAATCTTAACCCTTTGTTACCATTTTCTAAACTACATAGTCATCCAAAAAAATAAAAACTCAATGTTTCACGACTATTTTTCAGGTTCAGTTAGTCGAGACTTCACTTAACT